CATGAATGGTTGACTTTGACTTTGTCAAATATGTTCCCACATCTCCATCTTGGTCTCCATTTATTTCTGTAACTTTTGCCCTCTTAGCTCCCAAAGGGACGTCGAAGGACAAACAACCAATAAACTTCCACATTTGCACTAAATCATTTCTTTCGTTTACGTGTAACTTAGACTTAGCTTTCTTGTCATTTTTGTATACACAGTGTGTATACAAAACAACATTCATTTTGTACAGCTCTCATGACATTTCCACTTGTTAAAATGCAGCAGGGATCAAATGAAAACAATGTGGGAGAAAATAAAAATAAAAAACATACCGGTACGTAATATTTATGTTTAGCTATTTAGCTAAATGTTTGTAGATTTTCTTTATTCTGTGTCCTTTTAGGGATCCCTTTGTCTTTCTGTTTTGGTTTCATGTTTTTTTTTTTTTTTTTTTTTTTTTAAAGGAGACAAAAATATAAAACCGTCATCTTTTGCAGTACCGAGTCTGTCCACAAGGTGGAGGCAGAGTTATAGTTTTCACCAATAACCATGATCAGAAAGTTCATAATAACAATTGTTTTTTCATTAAAATGTAATTTGTTTAAAACACCTTTTTCATCAGTATCCTATTACTAATAATGGGACTGAATTGTTTTCTGCTCTGAAGCTGCGTCATAAGGGGAGAGGAGGAAAAACATGAGGAGTTTCCTGACTGCAGAGCAGCTGTTTCCTCTCCTGTTTTATTCAGAAATGATCAGAACTGTCAGGTTTTCTTTCCTAACAGTGAATCCATAAAGGATTCATTCCCTCCAGAGAAACATCCTGCATGTTTTTTCTGCATCTTCACCGCCTTTCTGAGCTGGATCCTGTTTCTGCAGCTGCAAACCTGCGGGAGGATGTCCACTTTCCCTCCTCCTCTTCCCGCACAGCAGGGAGGAGGAGAAAGGGAGGAGGAGGAGAAAGGGAGGAGGAGCGCTCAGAGGTCTGACGCAGTGTGCAGCTGCTGCCTCACTTCCACTCCCCGCTCCCCGGAGGACGCAGGGCGGCTCTGGAAGCCATCGAACAGCGCGCTCCTCCCGGACAGCCGGAGCCAGAGGGCGGCTTCAGCGCACAGCGATGCCGGCTGCGACGGTCCGACAGCAGGCGGAGCGCGGGCCTCAGGTCCGGGCTTGAAGCTGGAGGATTGGCGTTATTGTTTGCTGTGTGGCGCAGGAGAGGAGGATGTCTCCGCAGCCACTCCTCCCATTTCTTCCACACTTGTTTATTACCCGAAACCAAGAGGCTGATTTCTGCCTTCTGACTCTGGGTTTGTTGGTCGGAGAAACTTGGTCCACCATGCTGCCTGCTCAGGAACCATGAGAACTCTCAATGAAAACAACCAGGAGGAGGAGGAGGAGGAAGAGGAGGAGGAGAATGGGAGCTCTGGGTGCAGCGCCATGGAGGAAAAGGAGAACAATCTGAGAACTGCCCGGCTGTGGAGGGATGCCGCGCTGCGCTCCAGGAAGCTGCGCAGCGACCTCCGCCAGCTAACCCTCTGCTCCAAAAACAACCAGATCATCCTACCTGACAACATATCCGACGTAGAGGCGCTCAACCTGGGGAACAACTGCCTCCAGGAGCTACCGGACGACCTGCAGTCCACCTTCAACAACCTGCGCATCCTCATCCTCCGCAGGAACAGGTTCACTGCTGTGCCCAGGGTGGCGCTGGAGCTGGGCCAGCTGGTGGAGCTCGACATGAGCCACAACTGTCTGCGAGGCCTTCCTGATGGTGTAGGGCAGCTGAGGGGCCTGAAGAAGCTGTGCATCAGTCACAACAAACTCCAGAACCTCCCAGCTCAGATTGGACTCCTTCAGTCTTTGGAGGAGCTGGAAATCAGCTTCAACGACCTGCATGACTTCCCCAGGTCCTTCAGCAGCCTTGGCAAGCTGCGAACTCTGGATGCAGATCACAACAAGCTGAACCAGTTCCCCGCTGAGATCCTGAGCCTGGGTGAGCTGGAGGAGCTGGACCTCTCAGGGAACAAGTTTCAGGCTTTGCCAGCGGACATTATGAGGCTGAAGTCCATCAAGATCCTGTGGCTGAGTAGCCTGCACATATCCTCCTTACCCGACACTTTCTGTCACCTGCACAACCTGGAGAGTGTAATGCTGGATGGAAACAACCTCACAGTGCTGCCTTCATCATTTGCTCAGCTTAAGAGACTGAAAATGATTAATTTGTCCTCCAACGAGTTTAAGGACTTTCCGCAGGCTATCATCCACATCACGGGATTAGAGGAACTCTACCTGAGCAGGAATAAATTGACTCATATTCCAGAGGAAATCTCTCAGCTGGTGAAGCTGGTAAACCTCTGGCTGGACAACAACAGCATCACTCATCTCCCCGATTCCATCGTGGAGCTGGAGAAGTTAGAGGAGCTCGTCCTACAGGGTAACCAAATAGCCATTCTACCTGATCACTTTGGGAAGCTGTCCAGGGTTAACATCTGGAAGGTGAAAGATAATCCTCTCATTCAGCCTCCCTATGAGGTGTGCATGAAGGGCATCCCTTACATCGCCATCTATCAGAAGGAGCTTGCTCAGTCTCAGGTTGCGGTGAAGCCGTGGCTGAAACTGGTCCTGATGGGGACGAAAAATGCTGGGAAAAGCCAGCTGAGGCAAAGCTTGGTAGGAAGTGAGACGGACATCAGGGGAAGCCAGGCAAAGAAAGGAATCGAAGTCACCAACTGGGTGGCGGACTTTGAGCGCCATCTAACATTCTTGGTGTACGACCTGTCAGGGAACCTAAACTATGACCTCATCAAACCCTTCTTCCTCTCCCCCGGTGCTCTCTATCTTCTCGTCGTCAACCTTAAAGCTTATTCACCCCAGAACTTTTATGCCAGCGTGGGGTATTTCCTTCACCTGCTGTGTGCTAAGGTCCCCCACGCGGTGGTGTGTTTGGTTGGCACGCATGCAGACCTGTGTGGAGAGAAGGAGGTGGAGGAGAAAGCTCTGGACATACACAGACAGATCGGCTTGCAGGAGATGAGTGACATCCACTGCCTGAGGAGCCTGGTTCAGCAGGTGGACCTCTCTCTGGAGCAAGGCTACAAAGTCCGTACCTCTAGTCCACATGTCCTCTTCTACGGCGTGAGCGACAGAAACCTGAGGCGCAGGAAAGCCCAGCTGCAGTACATGCTGAACCAGCGGCTGCAGATCCTGTCCCCGGTTCTCTGCGTCAGCTGCACAGAGACCCAGAAGAACATCCAGAGACTGAGGGAGAAGCTCATGTCCGTTGCGGACCACCGGGAGATCTTCCCCAACCTTCACCGCGTGCTGCCAAAGTCCTGGCAGATGCTGGAGGAGTTGCACTTTAAGTCCAAAGATCTGTGGCTCTCATGGCGGAGCTCCGCCCGCCTGGGCCTCCAGGCCGGACTGACGGAGGACCGACTGCAGAGCGCCTTGTCCTACCTGCACGAGAGCGGGAAACTGCTCTACTTTGAGGACAGCATCACACTGAAGGAGTATGTGTTCCACAATCTTCCACGTTTTATTGCAATCCTTAATGTCTTCTTTCAGAGGGACAAGTCCACTCTTTTGGACCGGCTGCTTTCTGAGGGGGAAAGGGGGGACAAAGGCAGAGTGAGTCTGGTTATTGAGGATGAGAAGGGAGAGAACCTCAGGGTCACCCATCTTCAGCAACACCTGGAGGGCTTCCTCCATGACGGGCTCTTGCCTTCCAACGTCATCCGCCTGCTCCTTCGACCGCACATCCAGACACAGCAGGACCTCCACCTAATCATGGAGCTCATGGAGAAGATGGGGATCTGCTACTGCATCAACAAGCAGCGCGCCAAGCCACTGAACGGAGCCACGGTGTGGTACAAGTTTCCCAGCTACGTCAGCAGCGAGGAGGCCCGGTTGGAGGACTCCACCGGAGGAAACTCTCTGCCTATTAGCCCCTTGTTTTCAGTGGAGCAGCTTTACATCCAATACAACTTCCCCTTCCTGTTTCCTCCTGGACTCTTTGCACGCTTCAGTGTGCAGATCAACCATCACGTGGTGCAGCGGTCAGACGGCAAGTCGCAGATATTTGCCTATCGGGGTAAAGTTCCGGTGGTGATCAGCCACCAGCCCTCCAAGGGGAAACTCTCCACTGACACACTGTCCATCGCCAGCCAAGCATCACTGCCTAACATCTGGACTGCTTGGCAGGCCGTGACTCCGCTGCTAGAGGAGCTGAACATGCTCCTGCAGGAGTGGCCTGGCCTGCACTACTCGGTGCATATTCTCTGTTCCAAGTGCCTGAAGAGAGGGTCGTCCAACCCGCACGCCTTTCCTGGTAAGTCCTGAGCGCTGCTACAGGCTGAGCTCACCTGGGGAGGGGGATATAGTCATCTGCGTCTATTAAGGCGAGTCAGAGAGCTGGGAGTGGAGCAGGAACTATTCAGCAAACACATTTTACTGCACATTCAATGACAGGGTAAACATATTGAAATGCTGCAGAGTTCCCTGCAGGGTTTAGAGGTGAGGATCTAAGGGTTGAACCGCCATTGGTCTGTCTAGATTCACATAACCAGGTTATTGCAAAGGTCTGTATGTGGAGCGCGCTGTGCCCCCCCCATGGACTTCATCTGAACCGCTGGGTAAGAGAAGTATGGAGTTAGTCAACCTTTAGAGAAGGAAAGCATCAAACCTTCTGATCCTGAACCATGGAAACCCATCAAGAAACAAAAGCAACATTGGTTTGTTTTGGTTTTCTTTATGATTTAATTAAATGACTTAATAATCTGATGGCCTTTTAATGCGATGTGATGTCTTTGTCCCCTTCAGCTTTAACGGCTTTATGCATCATCAGAGGTTCACTGTGGGACACGTGGTGGTTGTTGCTGAGGCAGATGATGAAGATCTGTCCAGAGTTTCCTGTTTTGCCTTTAATGTCAGACGCAGATCTGGTTTGAAATGAGCTGCAGCAGATTCAGCCACACCCTGATTCAGAGCGCAGCTCTGCAGAAGATGGAGCCAGATGCCTCTGCTGGGGGGGTGGAACAATGCTGCTGCCTCTGACATTAGGTTAGACGGCTTCAGGAGCCCCTCCCGCCTCAGGGACAGGAATAATCCTCATAGCTGGTGGGGCTGCAGCTGCACCATGGCCTGCTTTTAGAGCTGGGCTGTGGCTGCGCTGGCGGCAGGGGGAAGCTGGTCAGCTGCTGCTGAAGGCCGCGCCGTCATGTGATCCAAGCTATGAAGCTTTCAGTCACTCATTTAACTAGATTTACCCCATTTAGATGCTCAGGGTGAGCTCACCGCAGCTTTGCACGCTCTCACAGCTTATTAGGAGAATATCCTCGTGTTGGAGAGAATAACCTGGGTGGTCAATGTCCAGATGATTATCACTTATTGGAGGGGGGGGGGCAGTTTCAAATCTAAATAAATACTTGAATGGCCTTAGTGTTCCACCGTTTTTCCAGTTTTCTTCTGTTTGTTTTTTCAGATTAGATGAAAAACCTAAAGAACTAAAGATAAGAACTAAATGTTCATCCTTTTGTCGTAGGGTTGCCTGTTTAGACCCTGCTGCGGTCGTTAATTAGGGTTGGGTATTGGCAAAGAAGTCACGATGCGATTCGAATCACGATGCATCACGATACTTGAAATATTGCGATGCATCGCGATGCATTGCGATATTTTCACTGAACACTGTAAGAAAAAGATGCAGCCCTTACCAGTGGCTGACTGGCTGGGTGTGATCTGGATCATGTCTTCAATTGATACGTAACTGAAAGCAACTGAATTCATTCATAGCTGTATTTATTGAAACGACTTTTGGAGGTGTTGCCATGGAAACAAATACTGGACAGAAATATTACTATTACTGGCGTGGACACACTGACAAAAAGATCTTAGGATTCATCAAACTTAAAATAACAAAATAAGGATAATCAGAGCCGTTTACATGGCCTCAGTGGTCCTTTAAACCAATGAAACGAAAACATTCAAATGTATATTTCCCCTTTTGCAAATGACGTGCATCATATCAATTTCGTTTTTACCTTCTTTGTTTTTAAAGCCAGAATGCATCCAAGCATCTGACCTTAAATGTGATGGAGCCGCGGGGCGAATTTTCATAGTGTCCTCCATGTTTTATTTCATATGACTCGTCGCAGTATCCCGCGGCCGGACATGCTTGTGACGCAAAGCAGCGGGCGTCAACACATCCGCAGCGACATCTGCTGGACTGGAAGTTGTATTCCACTTGGTTTGGCTGATGTGCGCCAACCATTCATGCATTTTATTTGTTCTTTTTTTTTTTTATAATCGATTCTTGCCTTCAAGAATCGATGCAGTAGATCACAAAAATTAGAATCGCGATGCATCGTCATGACGATTATTTTGCTATTTTGCACACCCTTATCGTTAATCAGAGGGTCCGATGGCGTGGAGTGTAGGCCGCTCAGCTTCTATCAGTCTGGCCCAGTGTAGCTGTGGCCACAGTGGAGCGTACCACCATCAGCGTGTGAAGGACTCGATGTGCGTGAAGAGCTTTGGAATCCTTGGACCAGATTAAAAAGCGTCACCGTTTAGCTGGCAGCACTGAACTGAGAGCTGGGTGTGAATGGCATAGTTATACCCGGAGGTAGAAGAGGTACAGATTACGTCAGAGGTAACCGGTTAGAAATCAGTGGGTTACGAAGAAAGAAAATCAACCAGTTAAGGTCCGGAGACATTTCTTATTAGAATCTGAAACTTTAAACAGAATTTAACGCTGAAATAAAAAACAGGTGTTTATGCATCCATGTTATACATTTAGGATTTAAATGAAAAATAGAAAAATTTTCCATTTTAAAATCTAAATTATTATTGAAGTTGAAAACAACAAGCTTCAGTTTGGTATATAGTATAATTTATAATTTCCTGATTCCCATATTTTCTCAAACCCCTGAACTGATGGTTTGTTATTTTCTTTCTTTTTTCTGTCTTAATGTTGGCAGTGGGCTTTAGGCTGCCCTGCAAGGCTTTAAACCTGGGTTTAACCGGAGACTAAGCCATTCTCAAGCACATATCAAGGAGCTCATTTTGAGCCTGGATCCAGATTTATTTTTGATAAAACTATGCCTACTAGTCATTTAACCCGTCACATGGGGACACAAAAGCAAACTTTTCATTCTAGATCAAATATTCAACAGGACTTTTTGGTCAGTTTGTCTGGATCATTTTTAATTTTTTTTTCAAATAAAGAAAAGCCCCCAACTTTAGCAAAACAAGGATGGATATATTTTCTTCTATGGGATATTGATATTGTGTGGAGTGTCCAATGAGAAGCTAAAACTAAGTTAAATTTGGTTAAATTCTCCCTTTACTCTGCGGTGCATTTGGATATCTAGGCCTGTAATCTCCTCTTCTGGGCAGGTCTAAGGCCCCTCACACCTGCTTTTAAGCATTCCTTCCTTCTATTAGGTTATAAAAGTTTCTATTATATATAATATTGTGTAATATTCCTAGGTTTTGTTTTTGATATTTGTATACATCTGTCTACTGTGTGTTTAAGTGATATTCCCATTTTTATTGTGGGTGATCTGTTTTTTCTAGCTGTAGTCATCCTGTAGAAAAGCTGAAATTCCTTTTGTGGAGCTCGTTCTGCTCCAGCAGATCAGCGAACAAAAAGAAAGGCTTTCTGGCTCATTGTGCGCTGGCAGCCATGCAGGTATTTCCTCCTGCTCGTTATATTAAGAAAGAGAAGCTGGATTAGCTTTTTTGGGTAAAGTTCAGCGTTGCTCAGAGGAAACAGGCTGGAAGGAAAGTGTCTCATGGATGGAGGCTGATTCAGGACTGAAAGGGGGAATTTGGAAAAGCTGAGTTGCAGGAGTTAATATTACCAGGCTGCAGTCTGAGGAGAGGCAGCAGAAAAAAGAAGGTTTGAACTCCAAGGTGCGTGTGGAGATCTGCTCCGGCCTTTTATGGTCATGATATTCTTGGCTGCAGCGTGTTGATGCAGTTCAGACCCACAGAGACTAAACACACTTTGTCCTCAGATGATCTGCTCCATCTGACAACAAAGCGGGTCTGTTAGCGTTTTTCTTTGTCTTCTCTCCAGGACCCTCATGTCAAAGGTCTGATTGCTCCAAATACTTCCTGCTCTCAAAATCAGCAGATTTTTGTGTTTAGTGTTTAGTTTGGTCTTTTCTTTCTGTAGGATCTTTGTATAAAGGCTTATTTGGGGGGTTGTGGGGATTATTTATCACTGATCTCTATTTATTCACTGGATTGCTGATTGCCCAACAAAAGCAAAGCCACCAGCCACCATATTGGTACTCCCCGCTCCCATGGAGATGCGCAGTAAATGAGAACATCATCATTGTTTGATGCTGTAGCACAGATTGTTTACATTAAACCCAGTCTAACTATGGAGTACCAATATGGCGGCTGGCGGCTTCACTTTAACCCCGTAGTACCAACGATCAGTAATCGAGGAATAAATAGAGATCAGTGTTCTTTCTACATTCACCGTATTGTTGCCTTTTCTCAGCCTCCAGGTGTAACAGTGTGGGTCACAGTGAACAGGTTTCACGATGATGTGCAAACGCCGCGCCGACGCTTGAACTTGTTGCAAATGAAAAAAATTCCTTAGATTGCAAAAAAAAACAATAAAAAAATGAGTGGTTTGGGATTCTGCTCAGAACATTAACAGGAATGACAGCAATGCAGCTTCTATGTGTTCTGTTTCTATTCTTCCTGGTGTCCTGGGAGCTCTGGTGGCTGCAGGCCATCCCACGGTGGACGCCCTCTCTAAGCCTCTGGAGGATCTGAGCTCCAGAATTAGACAAACATAAAAATAGAAGAAGCAGAGCTGATGCTGAGCTGGAGGCTCAGGATCATCAGGAGCTGTCAGCGGAGGATTACTGCTGCTGGCGGCGGCGGAGCGGCGCTGCCATGACCTCTGGTGTATTTAAAGCACTTTGGCTTCAGGAAGTGGCTAAGAGGAAAACATCAAGTCATGAAGCTCCAGGTGAAGGAAGGGAACGTCCAGGTTTGGGAGCCTGGGTTCGATATTCCTCCTCCTAATCTGAACTCCTGAAGTCTTTGTCACTTTGTTTTGGAAGCCGACAGCGGACAGACAGCCTGCTTTGACGTCTCGGATCAGCACCGGTTCTTCCCTTTGTGGGTTCAAACATAATTTAACTGAAAGCAGAAACATAAACAGATTACCGTCAGATGAAGATGAAGCTGTGAGCAGCAATGGAGCCATACGAGGCGGACCGCCGCCTGGACCCAACCCTAAAGGGATTGCTTCCTGTTGGTCTCTATCAGAATAGTGGCCCCCACTTATCTACAGATGTTTGTTTG